TCCCGACATCTCTCTCCCTGCTGGCTCCATTCTTGGGAACCAGCGGGGGACTGGAGATTGTGAAGGCTCCTGCTCTCTGAAGCGCTGGGAGCAGGATTCCTGTCACTTCCAATCGCCATCTCTCCTTGTGACAGGGTTTCCCAGCAGCCCCATTCTTTGTTTGGCAAGGGATTGCAGTTTTTATGCATATGTGTGTACATATATACATATATAGATATACATATTTACACCACTTTAACCTTTTCTGTTCCCTCTCTGCTCTTTCCTCACATCCAATAATAGACTTGGAAGAGGAGTTGCAGTGACGGGCTTTGGATCAGTCTGTAACACAGAATGCAGCTTGATTTAAACAACCTGTGACTGCCAGCACACACAAATGAGACCCCTTACCTTCTGTACTCACAGTCCCAGGTATCTGTGTGTACCCAAACAACACTGCCCAGCCCTACAAGAAACAGGTTCTCCTTGTGGGTTATGTATAGCTGTTCCTTAAATAGTCCTTCCCCTTTTTATCACTAACGTTTAAAGGGGAGGATCAGGGTCTTTATTCCAGATTTCTAGGACTGGGACAGTGCTGTGCTGCAGGGCATGAGGTGGAAAACTTCTCGCAGGAATTCAGGATTCGCATCCAAAAACTCAAGTACTAAAGAGTCTTTGAGAAGGAAAAACAATCTCAATTGTAAATTTCCACTGGAAAAGAATGAACACCACACAGATTTTCTTAAATAGATTCAGTGGTTAATTACCCTTTCTGTTTAAAAATGTCTGCCTTATTTCCACTTCAAATGAAGGAGAAAAGTAATGTTTGCCATAGCTTCAAATTAACAGCATTTGATCAACCTACAGCTTTAAAATGAAATCTTCTCTTGTTTGGTGTTTTTTTATTGTTATATACATGCTTTCAAGAGTAAGATACTTTCTTGAATGGGGGAATTGGCCAGTTTAGATTAGCTAGGCTAGAATGAATGTAATTCTTACAATAAATGTTCGGGATGAGTTCAGCAGTTGGTGGTTCAAAGAGGAGGCAGAGTGGCTGGGGAAACAAAAACCCTGAGCTCTAGTGCTGCACTGGATTTCTGTCCATCTGTCCTGGCAGCCCTGCAGGGGCAAGGGCTGCACCTGGTTCCAGCAGTGTCCTGGCCCCTTTTGTTTAAAGGCTTTGTGTGGTGGACTGCCCTGTGCAATGGCACACCTGTCAGCGCCCAGGAGAATGTGGAAATGATTCAGTGTTTTGTGGGAATAAGATGTCACCCCTCAGCTTGAGAGCCTGCTGTTCTGTATAGCTCTGCTTTTCCAAGTGCTCAGGTTGCTCCGCAGCCAATACACAAACTTCCCAGGACTCTGTTCCAGGAGGGGCTGATGGGGGAGAAGATGAGAGAGGAAAACTAAGATGCTGTTTGCAGTAACTATCCCATGCAAATCTAACATTACTGGCTGCAGCCATTGGAAGTCTCAGCCTGTTCCCTCTGCTGGTTGATCCTTCCTTGATGACTGAGGACATCTGATGGACAGGGATGTTATGCCCTTCTAGCAAGCTTCCAGGAGTGCATGTGAGTACCAGCCACTTCGCTTTACCCCTAAGAGAGCTCAGACTCATTCATTATATCCTCAAGGGATACTCTTTGCTTCTGATCTGTGTTACCTTCCCAGCTTGAGCTTTCTCTCCAAAATGCTTTGCTGACATGCATCTGGCTGGCAGGAGCAGATAGAAATCTCCAAACCACCAGGGAGGTTGCTGAGCTGTGGGGCTGGTGAGCCAGGGACCACTTAAGTTGGATAAGGAATAGGACCAGGAAAACCTGGGCTTGTAGAGGTCTCACCTGTACAGGTAAATAGCCTTCCTGCAGATGGAGAACAGTCAGATGGGCTTTCCAGTTCAACAAGGCAGAAATAGCAGCCTGAGTGGTGCTTTCACTGGGGACATGACTGACTTCCTTCCAGAGGCCACGGCGGTTTGAAGAAACTCGAGCCCCTGGTTAACATCACACAGCTGATGTGTCCAAAACTCCCTGTCCCGTGCCCAAAGCATCCTGCTGGCATTTACGAAGGCTGATCAGGGAAGGCTTCTCCTCGAAGGGGCAGTGAGGCAGGGAGGCTCCCAGACCATCTCTGTTTCTGCAGTGTCAACTCTGAAAGGGCAGTACTGGCAAACTGCTCTGACCTTCAGCGCTGTGGAGATGCCCATGAGCAGCTCTGCCTGCCGGGCCTGGGCTGCCAAGTTCCCTCTCCTCCAATGGGGGGAAAGGCTGCTAAGCAAAGCATCATATTGCCTTCATATGAGCCACTTACTGATTCCTTGTGGAATTTACCTAGCTTGGACTAGATGGTGGTGGGCAAACACCAAGAGGCAGCACTGAAGACCATGTCCTCTCTGAGAGATTTCTATTTTATCTTGGAAAAGGGCACAGACTCTCCCAGTGGATCTTCCTCTGCATTCCCCAGTCTTTCAGAAATCACCGTACCTTTTTTGTGTGTATGTTCCATGTCTTTGGTGTAGAGTCCTGCATGGCTGGCTCATGGCTGCCAGTACCTGCCCCTGGGGAGCTAGGAAAGGAGGCAGGAGGCACCAGATTTTGTGCCATTGCAGCAGGGTTAGCTCTGTCATTCCCCACCACACAAGCTGCTTGGAGCACAATGAATCCTGCCTCTGCCCACACCATGAACAGCTGGACTATCAGGAAGCCTTCAGGGCTCCCAACAGCATCTCCGTCCTCCTGGCCATTGCTCTGGGAAGGATGCGTGCTGGGACCGGCTCCTGCTGTTCTGCCTCTTCCAGTTCTCCTGGGTTTCTTTGCATGCCCAGGTACTGTGTGTCCAATGCCTTGAGGTGAGGAGATGGGGAGAGCCTCTGGAGACCGGGGCAGCAGCGAGGCAAGAGTGGGACAGGATCTCTGAGAGTGACAGTGGGAGGGGATGAGGAGGGTTTATGGGCTCACAGCTGCTTTCCCAGCCGTTGGGGGTATTTTAGCCTACATGGAACCAGGGGAGGAATGCCTGTAAAATGTGGAGACAAACTCCCTTGCAGCACAGAGCAGCGGCTGTTTCTCACCAGCACTTGTCTCGTCGTGTGCCACCATCACTGGGTCAGGTCACAGGAGTGTCTCCAATTAACCCAGCTCCCTAGTGACCCTTAATTATCACTCCAGGCTTTCCTCCTCCCCCTTCCTGCCCCAGCACGAGTTTCTCACCTCTAAATCTGCTGCTAAACCTCTGCTCCTAGCATCCCAGCAACTGCTGGGAACCAGTGGCAGTAACCCAGATTTATTCCCTAAATCAAGGCAGTGGCCACCCCCTGGTTTGGAACTGTGTCCTGAGGATGTGCCTGCTTCAGGATGCCCCAGAACCACCAAGCTGTGTGGTGAGAGAGAGGGCTGCAGCTGCAGGGATGAGCACAGGGCTTGTGGATGGGCATGGGCTTCAGTGGAGAGGAGCAGGGAAGCTCTGGGAGGGTTTTTAGATGGTACTTGCCAGGAGAGTACCAGAATGGAGGAGAGATGGCTGCTGCTGTTTCCTCTTCTAGCTGTGGCAGAGACGACTGGACTGGGCACATTTAACCCTCCAGGTGCTGGTCCCAGAGATGAGCCATGTGTGTACCTGGATGACTGGAATTGGAGCATGGCTGCAGGACACATCATGGCCTGGCTCAAACTCCTGTCCCAGGTTTGCTGCTTTGCCTTTTCTTAGCACAGGGCTTGGGGTGAATCCTGGGGGTGTTTAGGGCTGCCCTGCAACACTGCAAGTACTTTGGGCATGGCTGCATGTCCATCTCCTGCTGGGTCATCTCACCCCTTGGAATGTCCAATAAATGGACCTACTGCTCTGGGAACGAACTAGGACGATCCCCAGAAGAACTGTGGCTCCCTACAGGTCTCCCTTACTGTGGCTGTCACTGAGGTCCCTGCAGCCCAGCACTACTGCACAAAGGTAAAGGTGATGCCCCAGTCAAGACCTGGAGAAACTGAGTCTGGGCAAGACACAGGAGCTCTTGAGTGTGTGCCTGCCCTGGGAAAAGCTGAACACTGGGAAACTGGGAAGGGCTGGTGGCTGAGGGAGAGGGCCCGGTGCTTTCGGGAAGAGCTGAAGGCTCACACGGAGGGAGGAGACAGGAGCTGGAACATCCTATGTGGGAGGATGTGGTGCCCGGGCTCTCCCTCACCCCAGGCAGCCCGGTTTTGGCTGAGCATGCCCCACGGGCTTGGGTGCCTGTGCCTGTGGGGCTCTCCCAGCTCTGCTCTGGGAGAGCTTGCTCTGCTCTGCTCTGCTTTCCCGGCTCAGCAGGACCATCCTGAGTGGGGCCAGCCTGTCAGGACCTGTCCCTTTTAAGCCCTCGGAGCTGTTGCCAGCCGTGGCTTAGTGGGGTCCCCATCCTTTCAACTGGCTGTTCGGCAAATTAAGAGCTTGCTATTAGGCTGCTAATTAAAGGCACTTCATTAGCAGCAGGGGAAGCAGCTCCTGGCCGCAGCAAAATTGGATTCCTCTGAGCTGATATGAGCCGAGTCTCTCATCTCCTCTCCTCTCTGGTGCTGGGGGCTGTGCCCCTCCATGTCCAGCAAATGCACCTTCCCCGAGCCATGCCCATGTGACTGCCAGCCTCCTCCCGAGCCGCAGGGACGGGGCACGCCAGCCCCACGGTGGCAGAGGGGCCAGAGGTGATCGAGGTCTAGGGTGATGTGGGGCTGCCACTTCGTCCAGAGCCTCGGGGGTGGTGTAGTGATGTTGCCGTGCTTACGGTCCCCGGGGCCACCCCCGTTTGGAGGGGACATGCGGGAGCTCTCAGCGGTGACAGAGCATCACATCGGTCGTCCCGCTGTCCCCAGGCTTGGCCGTAACCCCTCAGCGGGCTGGGCAGCCCGGAGGTGCTGCCCCTGCCCTCGGCGAGGGAGGAGGTCCCCGGACTCCTCCTCCGACCGCTCAGGCGCCTCCAATGAGCCCCGGGGCACCCGGGCTGCCTGCCCTGCCCTGCCTTCCCTTCCCTCACCCCCTCCTTCCTCCATCTAAAAATGGGAGAGACCAGCCAGGCTGCCGGACCGGGGCTGCCTTCCTCGCCCTCTCCTTCTCCTCCCTCCCGGCGCTCCGCCTGCAGCCTCTCCCCGACGGTCGGGAAAGGGACCCCGCGACCCGGCGGGGACATCACCGGGGTGAGCTGTCCCTGTGGGCCGGGGGGGCTGCGCCGTCCCTGCTCCCCTCCTGCCTTACGGTGTCCCCATTCCCCCAGGACCCTGGCCTGACGCCCCCATGGCCCACCCTCCCTTTTTTCCCAGCTCGGGATTCCTGATGGGATTAGAGGGGATTTGCTGTGCGTGAGCCGGGAGCTGCTGGGTGCTATGGATCCGGCTACCGTGCGGGGGGTGTTGTGAGGAGGGCCGGGCTCTGGGTGCTGGGGAGCGTGACTGCTCCCGTGGGATGCAGACTCACTCCGCATCCACTCCATTCCAGTCCTGTCGCTGAGGGGATGGAGACGCCCATTGCTAGGGGGGAGACAGCCGGGTGCAGCACCCAGAGGTGCTCCTGCAGCTGGAAGTGCTCTGAACGCTCCTGGGCACACAGACCCTGGGGTGCGCCGGGTCAGGGCACGGGGTTGTTCCCCCGCGGCCATCGGCTCTGCGCAGGAGACAGAGGTGTTGGTGGGGGCAGTGGTAGGAGGTGGGTGCATGGAGTGTTTGGGGAAGGGGGCTGGGACCTTCCCTGGGAATCTGCACCTTTCAATGGTGCTGGGCCGTTCGCAGCGGCGCCATTTGAGTGCCCCATCGAGGGAAGGGGATGGGTGTCCCTCCCTCCTCTTCCTGCTCCTTTCCATCTGCTGCCCACTCCCAGCTGGGGACAGGGTTGCCCATGTTACTCAGGCTGGGCCCACGCCAGGGTTAAAAAAGCCTCTCACTGCAGCCACAAGACCAATCATGGGGAAGCTGGATTGTTTGGGCTGGGTGCTGGGCACTGGCAAGAAGAGGTGCTCAGCTCAGGGCTCCATCACATTTGGGTCTTGGCTCTGGGCCAGGATCATCCCTACTTGGAGAAGGGGCAGTGATCCAATACAGTTCATGACACATGATCTTGGTCCCTGGCTCTGCTGACCAGGGCCATGCTCATCCTTCCTCCTCTCTCCCAGCATCTCACCTTCCCCCTGCTGTCGGTCTCCCTTCTGGTGTCTTTTGGCTCCTCCATGCTCTATGGCTACAACCTTGCCGTGGTGAACTCTCCAGCAGTGGTAAGGGACAGGCAGCCTCTCTGGGAGCAGGGAAAAGGGCTCTATATCCCTCCCTAGGAGGGTGGAGGGACCACTACCCAACATCCCCACATCAAAATGCTGGCATTTTCCTTGGGCAGTCACCCATGGAAAGTAGTCCAGGGAGAGGAATGGCATGGGAGGGACATGGGAGGCTGTGTTCATGTACTCCAAACTGGTCCCCCTGGCAAGGCAGAGGCTGGGGAAAGCTGGCCACAGCCTCCTTGCTCTACCTCAAGCTCTGTCTGGGGCATCTTTAAGCTGCCATTAAGCCTCTCCGGTGATGAAACAGGCTGAGCAACCCAACCAGCACATCGCAGTCATCCCCTGTCATGTCTTGCCCTGCATCTCCTGCAGTGCTGTTGAACTCATGACATTGTTCCTATAGAGCCTGTCTCCCCTTGTCTTCCTCTTTCTCCCAGTACATTTGGTGCCCATGTGTGTCTCTGTCCTGCAGCACATAAAGGCTTTCTACAATGCCACGTGGTCTCAGCGGTACGGACATGAGCTGACCCCTGGCCCCCTGACCCTCCTCTACTCCCTGACTGTCTCCATCTTTGCCCTGGGAGGGCTGGTGGGCTCCCTGCTGGTTGGGATGCTGGTGGAGCGGTATGGCAGGTAAGGGTGTCATACCATGGGACAGGGGGATTGAGGGATGGGGTGGGACTGGAGGAGCTGCCCTTCTGCCTGTGCCTGCTAGGAATGGTGCTCTGAGCCGCAGTGCTCTCCTCGTCCTCCTGGCCGGCGGCTTCATGGGCTTCAGCCGGGAGCTGGGGTCCCCTGAGATGGTGATCATCGGTCGCTCCATCACAGGGCTCCACTCAGGTAGGCTGTGCACAGACCCTTCCTCGCAGCTCAGTCCCCTACAGGCCCTTCCCTGGGGGCTGGAGAAGACTTCGTATTCCCCACAGGCTCTGTGGTGGGTTCTCTGGCACGGACAGGGCCACCTCCCTGGCCACGGGGTCCCTACTGTGGATGATGTTGGGAATGGGGGGAGATGCACTGAGTCTCTGTCCAAGCACCTTTCTCCCCACTGCCTCTCCCATCCCAGTCACTCCTGTCCCTGCCAGGTATCTGTCTCAGTGTGGTGCCCCTCTACCTGGGAGAAATTGCCCCCAAGAACCTGCGGGGTTTCCTGGGCCTCATGCCCAGTATCTTCATCTGCCTGGGGGTTTTTGCTGCGCAAGTCCTGAGCCTCCCAGAGCTGTTGGGCGAGGTGAGCACAATACCCCAGCCCACATGTGCTGGACCCTGCTCTGCCTTCCCCGTGACATGTCCTATTTCAACTCCTCTCAGGACAGATTCTGGCCCCTGTTGCTGTCAGTGGTGGTTGTTCCTGCCTCCCTCCAGCTCCTGCTGCTGCACTGCTTCCCTGAGAGCCCACGATACCTGCTGATAGAGAGAAATGATGTCTGTGGAGCCACCAAGGGTGAGGGAATATCCTGAGGGAGACTGGCTCCAGCAGGTGCTGGGTGCTTGTCCAAGGTCTCCCAAGACCAAGGTGCATCCTTGTGGCACCCTTCCACACCCAGACCTCACAGCCCACCACAATCCTTGTGGTTCAGCCCTTCCATCCCATGCAGTTGTGCCATCACTGTGGGAGAGGCTTTTCCCAAGTTCCTGTGGGTGCTGAGCCCCATAGGTCAGGGAGGTCTCCTGGGGAGGCTGAGGCAGGGCAGAGCCAAGCCCCTGCCCTGTGCCATACCAACGAGCATGCACCCTGGGATGGGGAGACGTGTGTTCGTGACCCCTGCTCTCCCCACAGCACTGCACCAGTTCCTGGGGACCCCTGATGTGCAGGATGTGATCGAGGAGATGAAGGAGGAGCAGCGGTCGCTCTCCTCCATGGAGATGGTCTCTGTGTGGCAGCTGCTGCGGGACCGCTCTGTGTACTGGCAGACCCTCTCAGTGGTGGTGGTGAATGCCGGCATGCAGCTCTCGGGGATCGATGCCGTAAGCTCTGCAGGGTCCTTGCTCCAGGACCTGGCTCTGCAGAGGCTGAGCTGAGACCTGGCAGCTCGTTTCTTCAAGTGCCCTGTGGTTCCACCCCCCACACTCATGCTCTGTCCCCTCCTCGGCAGATCTGGTTTTACACCAACATCATCTTTGAGAACGTTGGGATCCCTGTGTCCCAGATCCCCTACACCACCGTGGGCACCGGCGTCATTGAAATCATTGCTGGGCTGATTGGGGTGAGTGATGGATGGACAGATGGACGCAACCCCTCCGTGCCTGAGCCTTGCTGTCAGTTCCCAGCACCATCAAAAAGGGGGGCAGAATGGATTCCTCCCTCCCTCTTTTCTGGGGGGACAGAGGGTTTGGCAGGGAAATGGGGATGGGAGATGGGATGAGACAGGCTCAAGCTGGGGTTCACATCTAGGAGGGGTGAGAGAATTTTGGGGTAGCAGGGAGGTTGGGGAGAGATGCCAGGCAAGGAGCAGGTTGGAGATGATGGAGGGTGCTAGAGGTTCCTTCTGGCTCCCACTTTCACTGTCACTTTGTTAGCAGAGCCACATGTCTCAGTCTGCCCCCCCAGCCAAGCACTGGCCTGGTCCCAGACTAGCAGCTCTGCCTCCGCCCAGCCAGCCCTCATTTAGCTGGAGAGTTAGCACTGGGCTGGGCAGATTGATGTCCCTTGTCCCATCTGCAAGTGTCACCCAGAGCCATCCCAAGCCACCCAGCACTAAATCCATGCCGTGACAATTAGAGAGATGGATGGCAGTGGCTGTTCCCAGAAAACTGGGGATGAGTGGGGGGCTCTCCCCTCTCCCCATAGCTCAACCCACTGCAGAGTAGGCCCCCTGCCTCTCTGAAGAGTGTTCCCTTCTCCTCTTCCCTGGCTGTGGGGCTGCCCCAGCCCCCCGGCAGCTGCCCGGCATGGAGCCAGATTGCTCAGGAGCAACCCCTCAAATGGCCCCCAATGGACACGCTGAGATTGGTTATAAAATTACAGGCATTTGTTCTGCTGTCAATACCCTGCCTGCTCCAGCCGCTGCACTGCCCGCCCACACCCTGCCTCTGCCCACTGCCCCACAAACACCCCGTGCCCAGCTCAGCACCTCCGCTTGGCACTGGTGGGAATTCAGCATTAGGGTCACCCTAGTCAGCCCCGACCCTGCAGCCTAATGGGGCTATGTGGGACCCCTCTCCTGCCCCACGCATGCTCGTCCCTCGCACTTTACTTTACATGTGCCAGCCCCAGCCCTGGAGCTCTGAGCTAGGGCTGCCCAGGAGCATCCTCCCTCCTTCAGCTGGATCTGGGGTTCAGGGGTGCTCCCATCCACCTTGGAGATCCCCACCACCCCTCTGTTCTCCCCTGGCAGTGCTTCACCATCGAGAAGGTGGGCCGGCGGCCTCTCATCATCATCGGCTTCTGTGCCATGGGCATCTGCTCGGCTGGCATCACTGTCTCCCTGCTGCTGCAGGTTGGTCTGGCCACTGCCACCCCCAGGGCCACTGCCACTCCCCGGGCTGGGGCTGCAGCATTAACGGGGGCTGGGTGATGTAAGGCTGGGTGTCATCCCACGGGAGGAGGGAGGATCATGCAAGTAGAGAGGTGAGCTGGCTCTTCCAAGTAATGTTTTCCCTTTGGAGTTAAAGAGAAGGAAATTTTAGCGCAAAGAACAACAAAAAAAGAAAACACGAATTCAAATGAGAAAAGTTCTGATGCTTCTGGTAGATTTTCTGCAGAAATAGTTGTTACCAGAGAGGCAGCTGTGAAATGCCAGGGGAGGTGGAGAGGTTTGCAGGGTCCTCCTTTTGCTGTTTTGCTCCCAGGGGATGTTCCCGTGAATCTGGGGACATCTCAACATCAAGACCTGCGGATCTCGGCCAAAGCTGAACTTCACTAGCTTTGCCCCAAACCACGCATTGCTTGTCTGCATCTCACTGATGTGTCCTGTGGGGCCACTGTCTCCAAGGGCCACCACTGAGCCAAGTGGCTTCAGCCCAGTGTCCCCTCACAGGCTGCCCTGCCCTGGATGCACTACGTCAGCGTCGCCTGCGTGGTCGGCATCATCGCTGGCTTCTGCATGGGACCAGGTGGGGCTGGGGGAGCAGGGGGGTGATGGGGTGGGGATGGGGATCCCAGGGGACCACCAGGATTTGCAGGCAGGTGACAGAACCTGAGCCTTGGCCCTGCCCCTGTGGCCAGGCCCTGGGCTGCACCCCACAGGTGAAACCCCCCACAAACCCATCCAAGCCCCATACATCCCTAGGGCACACTCTACCTCCTCCTCCTCTTCCCTGCTTCAGAGCCAAGCAGGATGAAAGCCCTGGCAGCCTTACCCAGACCTCTCTGGAGGTGCCTCCCATCACAAGTGGGGCTGATGAGCATCATCCTGTCCCTAACCAAGTGCAGGCTCAAACAACCAGGAGTGAAACCTGGACTGGTTTACCCAGTTGATGTATTAGCAGAGCTGCCAACAGATCTGTAATTCATCCTCAGCCCAGACCTTATTCACTGTAATTACATCTTTAATTAGGATTTTAATGGCTCATTGTTCACAAACAATGATGAATAGGAGTTTTAAAACAAAAAAAAATACATATATCTCTGTTCTGGGTGAGCTGTGAGTAAGAGTCCATCGGGGGCTCCACTCCTCCCTTACTTCTTAGCACTTGTTTTTTGGTTTATCTTTTCCATTGGAGCATCCTTTATAAAGAGGTCCCAGCCAGACCTGTTCCAGGCAGTGGGACTCCAGGCACATCAAATACAGTCCCTTGCCAGATTCCCATGTGTCTTGGGATGTCCTCTGGACCTTGGATCCTGCCCTCCAGCACAGGGACAGTCCTGGGACCCATGGGTGCTACTCTCATCGCAGGAGATGCTGAGTCCTTACAGGAGAAGTAGTTGCAACCCATGTCCAGTTTTTAGTCCAGTAACAAGTTGGCTTGGAAAATCATTCCCACACACATGGGTTTTTTCACCGTACATGGGAGAAGCAGTTGGAAAATACCATTTCTGTGTCCTGTGGGAAATTCTGATGCTCAGAAATGTGGTTGTTTCTTTCTTGCCTAAATTAACCACAGTGGGATAAAAGCTAATTGATAGAAGGAAATTTTCTAAACTGTTTTGATCAAGGGAGGCTGGAAAGGGCATTATGGAGGGTGCCAGGAAGATTTTTCTCTGTGTCTGTGATCTCTAGGAGATTTAACGTATCAGCATTTAGAAATATTATTGGAAAATGAGGATCCAGGTGAAATATTCCACCTTTATTTCAATTCAGTCTGAAGCTTCCAGTAATGCAGATTGTGAAACTGGCCTCAGCACTCAGCAATGTGCAAGTGTGGTATGTCAGACGGGACATCACCCACCCACCGAGACATATCCCAAAAGGAGGCCAAGGGCAGGACACTGGTCCACAACACTTGCCATCTCCTCCAGCTGTCCCAGCACCAGTTTAAACTCAAGTTTAAATCTTGAGTCTTGCTGGGCTCCAGGCCTTTGGCCACAGGAATGAGATGGACCAGACCTGTCGACCCCAGGGGTGCTTGAGGCAGCCCTTCCCCCATATCCTTGATCTGTCCCTTCCCCCTGCAGCTGGTGTCCCCTTCCTGATGACAGCCGAACTCTTCACACAGTCGCACCGCCCAGCTGCCTACATTGTGGGGGGGTCCCTCAACTGGCTCTGCAACTTCACCGTTGGCTTCATCTTCCCCTTCTTGCAGGTACCAGTCCAGAGGGGCTGTGGAAGGAGGAGGGAATGGACACAGCCCTGCTGCTCCCCCAGCATGGGGTGCCAAACCAGGCTTAACCTGAGAGATGCTCATGCTCCTGGCTCAGCTCAATGCTGGCCAGAGCCAGCCAAGGGAGGGGTGATGGGAGGGGACGCTGTCCCATGCCATGCCCAGTTTGGGGGTGCCTGACTCTCTGTCCCATCCTACTCTTATTGTCCTCAGATGTCAACTGGTGCCTTTTGCTACCTGGTTTTCTGTGGTGTCTGCCTGCTGGTGGCCCTGTATGTCTACTTCATCATCCCTGAGACCAAGAACAAAACCTTCATGGAGATCAGTCACATCTTTGCCACCCGCCGCTCCGTCCTCTCCTTCCCAGCCCATCTCATTGGAATGATGAGGCTCGATGGCTATGGGACCTTGGAGAGCAGCTCCATGGAGGGCTCGGGCTCCAGCCTGCCCTGATCTGGGTGGGCTGGAGGGAATGGGGGTGGTGGAGGAAGCTCGGGGCTAGGGAAGAAAGTGGGGGTCAATTTGTTCTGACCTGGTCAGCTCTGGGTCTCCCAGGACATGTCCCTGTGCCACAGCCTTTTTCCAAGATGATGCACTTGGGTTGCACTGACCACTGTGCATGACCCCCATTCTGGAAGAGATGCCCCCACAGAGACGAGGGCACCTCCTGTGGCAGGGGTGTCTCATCACCTTGCCAAGAGCTGCCCACATGAGCTGTTTAATAAAGACCATTGCCACCAGAGCCATTGTTTGGCAAGTTCAGCCTGGAATGGCAGCAAGCTGTAGTGTGATGGAATGGGTGGGTGCTTCCCCAGTGCCAAGGAAGAGCAGAATGGGATGAGGGATTTGTCCTCCTCCCCAGAGAGGCTGGAAAGGTCAAAGGGAGAGTGATCAGGATGTCTCCTAGGCTCTTGCTTCTTACCCACCAGGTCATTCAAAGCCAGAAGCTGTTGAAGAAGGGACACAGAGTAGTTCTGAGCTAGGGGAGACTGTCCAGCCGCTGTGCCCCTCCACAGCCTGCTGGAAACCCCTTGGTGCCTGGCCTAGTGTACTGGCCCCAAAGAGTGCTCCCATGGGGTCCCTGCATCCTTTGCCCTTGAGGACAAAAGGATCCAGGATATACCCACATCCCTTTTCTGCACCCCGTTAATTGTTGTGACCTCAAAGTGCTCTCCAAGCATAAGGTCTCCCACATCTCTGCCTTGAATCCTGGGGGCTGTGTTGCAGAGGGAGGGGCTACCCTGTGTCCCAGGACTGCTGTGAGCATGGCAGTTGCATGACCCAGGACCCCCGCAGCAGCTCTCACATGGGATTGTGTGCTCCGAGGCCAGCAGACCCTCCAGGAGCTATGGTTTGCAGGAGAACTGCAGTATTTTGTTCTGGTAAGAGGTAAACCCCAGGCAGTGGGGAGGGCTGTGTGGCCAAACCCTTCTTGTACTAATGCAAACATCATTTCTTTTGTTGCAAATAATTTAGCCCTCTTTTTTTCCAGTTTCTACCCTGTGATTGGCCCACAGCTTGTGTGTTTGGTGCTTATGGTCACTTGACGAGGAGCCCACCCTTCCTGCATCCCTTGGCAAACCCTCAGGGTGCCTCTGGGGGTGGGTGGGTGTTGGACCCATGGACGCTGGGCCATACTGGGTCCCAAGTGCCTGGTCCTATCACCTCCATCCTAAGCCACTAGCTTGGGGCTCTCCTGCATCTCAAGTCATTTAAAGGACATCAGTCAAAGCAGGGGTCATGGCTCCACAGCATCAACCACTTCCCACTCTGCCTCCCTCCCGACTCCGCTGCTCTCGGCAGCAGAACAGAGCGGTAAATATGTGCAGCATTACATATGTATAATGGAGTGTAAATAACCCCAAAAAGTGCATTGTAAATAGACTCCAAGTTTATCCTTTATTAATGAGGCACTGAGTGCCCTGCTGTTTTAGAGCAGCGAGACTTTGATAATATCAAAACCTAAATTACACTTGTGTCTCTCATTCCCAGCAAACGACAGCATCATTTCAGGCCTCTTTGCCACTTGTATTTATTTATTCTGGTATTTATCTATCTCTCCCACCCAGCATGTGGGGCAACTTGGAAGATGACCCCTGCCCTCCGTGTAGGAGTCAATGACCCCCCTGGGATCAGCCCCCCCCATTCTGGGGTCCTGGAACAACCAAGGAGCTGGAGTGTTGCCTCATAGCCAAGGACTGCTCTGTTCTGGCTGGTGAGATGGGGCACACCTTGGGCAATGTGGGGTCAGGACCCATTTCTGCCAGAGCTTCAGACACCACCAGCAGCCCCCTCTTTCCAAGGACTGGAGGTCACTTGCCAAATTCTGTGGTGCCTTTTGGATGCATTTACTCCTGGGGACCCTTTTGAGGATACTGTGCCAAAGGACACATCCATCCTCTTTCCATGAGGACCTGGGGGTGAGGAAACCGTGTGCTCATGGAACACTAGCAACTCATCAGCTTTTTTGTTGGAGCTATTGGGGCAGGATCTCTGTTTTGGGGCTGTCAGTCCAGGCTGCCTCTTGCCACTGCTCTGGTACTCCTGCAAAAACAGGATTTGGGCTTCCCCTTTGCTTGCCTTTCCCAGGGAGACATTCCCAGCCTCTCTGCTGCAGATCACTCCTTCACTCCTCATGAAGGATACAGCTGGAAGAGCTTTGAGCTGCTTCCCCATGTCCAAAGCTGCTCTCTGAATTCAGGTTTCCCAAAGCACTAGTTCTATTTTGTGAGGGTAAGGCTGTATTCTCTAGCAGTGTCCAAGCAGACCTTGCAAGACTGCAAAAGGTGCAAAGAGCCTGAGAAACTACTTGGATGCCTGGAAATGCTCCTGATCCTCTGAAGGTTTGCAGAAACGAAGATGAAGGTGGCTTTTTCCAAATGAGTAAGTGCCTTCTCCTGATGTGCCCAGTGCTAAAGGGTGGGTGAGTTTAAGCACCGAGGTATTCACATACTTCCAACATGCAGGGCTGGGACTCACCCCGGGCAAACCGGAACGGGAAAGAAGGCCCTGGTTTGAACTCTCCAAATGCTTTGAAAGGGGTTTCTCAAGGACATGGTTATGGCCCACCAGTGGATATCTCCAGATCCTGCATGGAAACTCTCATGGAGGGTGCCTGGTTCATGGTGAATGGTGACATCCCAGCTGGGAAGCTGATAAAGGCTTGCTGGACATATCCTGGTGCCATCACTTGGGCCTTGATGGGGCAGCAAGTGGCCCTGGGCCATGGTCAGACGAGACAAGGAGAATTCATACCCTGCCAGTGCCCTCAGTTCCTATGGCTCTAGCAGGGATGGGCTCCTGTAAGATGGATCCCGGGGACCCACCAAGCCCCTGAGGCTGAAACATTCTTGCACTGGTTTCCCCAGGTATTCTAACAGTGAACTGTCCCTGTCACTTCAGCAGGGATGCCTTTACTCCCCCTGATCTCACCTGACTGCAGAGGCTCCATTGCCTGGGGTCATAGTGTGCAAATAGACCAGATGTCTGCAGCCTGGCACCTGGATGAATTTGAGGGGTTTTAGGGGCCAATTCTGGAACTTGGAGGTGGATAAGACCCTAAAATGCCAACTTACACATCCTGGAAGCCAACTGTATCCTGGGCTGCATCACAAGAGGCATGACCGAGAGATCAAGGGATTCTGTCCCTCTGGTACACCCTCGTGAGACCCCACCTGGATTATTGCATCCAGCTCTGGGACCCTCAGCACAGGAAGGACGTGGACCTGCTGGAACAAGTCCAGAGGAGGCCAGAGGGCTCAGAGGGCTGGAGCACCTCTCCTGTGAAGACAGACTGAGATATTGAGGTTTGACCTGTAGAAGATAAGGCTCTTGAGAGACCTTAGAGCACCTTCCAGTAGATAAAGAGGATGCAAGAGAGCTGAGAAGGGACTTGTTACAAGGCCATGTAGTGACAGGACAAGGGGGAATGGCTTTCAACTGACAGAAGGTAGGATTAGATTAGATATTAGGAAGAAATTCTTTACTCATGAGGCACAGGAACAGGTTGCCAGGAGAACCTGTCAATGCCCCATCCCTGGAAGTGTTCCAGGCCAAGCTGGATAAGGCATTGAGTAACCTGGTCTAGCCGATATCTCTGCCCATGGAAGGGGGTTTGGAACAAGATGATCTTTAAGGCCCCTTCCAACGCAAACCGTTCTGTGATCCTGTGATTTACAGACAAACACACCTGCAGGGCTCAGATGCTCAGGGCCATTCAAGGCAGGATAATAAAGCTGGCAGAGGAGCCAGTATGGTGTGGGGGTCTATCACCAGGCCTCTCCAGTTGCTTCTCCGGAGTAGTGGGATTGGCTGTGGGGCTGCAGTGGCAAGGACATGGTGCACATGGCACAGCTCATCATGGGGAGCAGCCCAGGCCGATGGGCAGCCAAGCCCCTGCCAAAGCTTGACATCAGTGCTCATGGAGGGCCTGAGGTTACAGAATGGGACCTCCTGCTGATCTCCCAGTGTCCATACTTGGTCACTCCACATCCCACCAGTCACAGCCTTGTGTGCAAACACACCTTCAGTAAAATCATGAAGGGGGCAAAAGCAGGGGAAAACTACTTCCCTTTGGATACAGGGTTTGTCCTGCACCAGCCTGTCTGCCCTCCCCAGTGCCCAGTGGCGGGGATTAAAGAGGCCCTGGCTGCAGTTTTGGGTTGGCAAAGCTTCAGACAACCAATTGAAGCTGCCCTCAGGCACCCTGGGAGGGGAACTTGATAGGATAGAGGAAAAGGTGACAAAGGAACAGGACACAGAGAATGTGGCTGCCCTGAACTCATGAACACTGCTATGATAATAACTGCCAGGACACACTGCCTGGAGAGAAAAGGTTGCACCCCCAAAATTAGGACCCCCACCAGATGGTGAAACACCTTCCAGCTTTGGCATAGCAAATGAGTCCTTCAGCACTGTCACAGGGCATCATCTGCCTGGGAAGGGTGATTTCAGACAGGATGAGTTCTCTTGGCACCTTCTTTTGTTTTTACCCTGCCCAGTGATGGTAGGAAATCCCCAGAAGGAAACAAAGACATAACAGTGGTGTATATGTACCTGCTCCAGGTGCCACAGTCCCATGGCCACCTTTGTGTATGGTAAACCTGTCTCCCTCCTGGCTGAAAGTCATCCTGCAGCGGGGCCTCCCTGGGCTGAGACCACAGCTCTTACCTCCTAAAGTGCAGAGCCAGCTCCAGCCCAGCCTGCAGTCCACACAGGCTGTGGTCAACAGTCTCTTTGCAGGTAAAAATATAAAATGAGTGATTTTTCTTTTTTTTATTGTGTTCTGGGTAAGAGGCACTCATCTGAAACTCAGCATCTCAGAGGGGTGGAGAACAGAGATTTTTTTCTTTTAAAAACCTAAAATACTTCCTCAACATCAACCCCACACCCTCAACCTCTTTAAAAACAAAAAAAAAACCAAAACAAAAAAAAAAGATTAACAGTTTGAACAATTTAAGGGCACATTTGGGGGGTGGGGGAAAAAAGTGTTTGTTACCCTATCAAAAATATGATAACTGTGTGTGAGTGCCTGCAGGTCCGTGGCCGGGGCTCTGCTGGAGCAGGTCTCTGCAGCAGTTGCAAGGTGCCGGGGTTGGTCCGGGTGGCCGAGGCAAGGGTGGTCAAGGCAAGTGTGCCCGGCAGAGAGTGCACACCAGCAGATGGCACTCCTAGAATTTATTGCT